AAACTTTTACGGAACGGAACTAGAGAACGGAACGCTCATTATAGTAAGAAATCCGATCCGGCGTTCCGATCCGTGCTCAATGGGAAGGCACCCTTAATATTAATCTTAACGTCTAATCTTATCACTACTAAATTATCCCTAAACCTATTTAACCGTACCTCTAAATGTCTGCGTTACTTAAAATTTTATCTATAAGCTATTCTTATTTACTACCTTCCCTTATTTTTAAAGTTATCATTCATCTAGAATTAATATTATAATTTCGCTTATTGCTATGAGCTTAGGCTTAACTATGAATATGAACCTTGTACAGAGAATCACCAACTTGGGCTGCGTTCCGAAATCACTGCCAGTGCTGAAATTCTATAGTATACGTGACATAAACTATAGAATTTCAGTACTGGCAGTAAATTTCGGAACGCAGCCTTGGTCACGTGATTAGCTGATTGGCTGGCATAAATATATACGGATTTAGACATTAGGTCTGTCTTTGTAGCTGCACTGCTGAATTGGTGCAATATATTGAAGTGAGACAAATATATATTTTCTCACTCTAACTTATTGCACTAGTTCAGTAGTGCAGCTATAAAGAACAGGCCTATTGAGACGCCAATGCAGAACAAATGCTTATATTTATATATATATGGTTTTGCATTGGCGTCACAATGTCTAAATCCGTACATGTTTATGCCAGCCAATCGCAGAGTAGCTGAGTAGCTGGTCACATGACTAATAGCGTTTTTCATTGGCAGAACTGGTGCGCACTGAGTGCGCACTAAGGCTTGTTTACAATACATTTTCATATTTAAAATCGTGTCTTAATACATATTTAAAAATATTTTAGGTTATAAAATGATTCGTACGGATGTTATACATATTATATTACTGGTTAAAAATATTTGAGAATTTATTTAAGACAATCTTTCAATATAATAACATACTGTGAACAAGCTTAGTGCGCACTCAGTGCGCACCAATTCTGCCAATGAAAAACGCTATAAGTTGGCGGTTCTCTGTACTAGAGGTTCTCTACCCAGGGCCAGTCGAACACGCTATTAATTCCGAAGTTTCCGCTACAAGTCGCCACTACCTACATATTTACGTTATTGACCAAAACATTTTAAAACATAATCAGACAAGATTAGATAGGTTAACTACGATGTCAAAGAAGGCGAGAGTTTTCGATGTGCAGGAGATGATGCAGAATATCAGGCAGACCCTTCAGAACAACAAAGCAACTGGGTTCCAACAAGAAAAATCCGTCGACGAAAGTGCGGATTCCAAAGATGACAGCAAAGAAAGCGACGACGAAGATAATTTGATTGGTCCACCGATACCACTTCCGCTACCTGCTGATGTAAACACGAAAACTTCGGACGCAGATGAGAAAAAGAAGAAGAATGTTAAGAGCGCCGACAACGACGACGACGATGACGATGACGACGAATCGTCCGATGACGAGTCGTCCAACAAGATTCCGTGTACCCACGAAGTGACAATGACGCATGGCACTAAAGCCGTCACCGCCATCGCCGCGGATCCCTCCGGCGCTCGATTAGCCTCCGGATCTGTTGACTACGATGTCTGCTTCTGGGACTTCGCAGGTATGGACTCGTCCATGAGAAGCTTCAGGACCCTACAACCCTGCGAAAATCATCCCATCAAATGTCTACAGTATTCAACAACCGGTGACATGATACTGGTGATATCTGGAGCAGCACAGGCCAAGGTCCTGGACCGGGACGGCTTTGAAAAGTGTGAGACGGTGAAAGGTGATCAATATCTCATCGACATGTCACGCACGAAAGGTCACACTGCCAGTCTGAATAGTGGTGATTGGCATCCATCTGTGAAGGAACAGTATCTCACTTGCTCTCAAGATAGCACCTGTCGGATTTGGGATCTGAATAGTCCACGTTGTCACAAGAGTTTGATAAGGTGTAGGGCTCAGAATGGCGTGAAGACTATGCCAACCACTTGTGCATATAATCGAGATGGTAATGTAATCGCTTGCGGGTGCATAGATGGTTCTATTCAAATGTGGGATCAAAGGAGAACCTTTGTGACCCCTTCTCTGGTATCACGTGGTGCACACGCACAACACAGTGAGATATCTAGTCTGAGCTTTTCCTATATCAAGCGGATGTTGGCCAGCAGAGCCTGTGATGACACTCTGAAGTTGTGGGACCTGCGAATGTTCAAGTCACCGATCTTTGTGGCAAAGGACTTATTCTCGCGTTACAACACGACTGATTGTATGTTCAGCCCGGACGACACGATGGTGGCCACGGGAGAGTCCTTAAACAAAAATGCAGAACATGGCAGGATGTTATTTTACAGCAGCACGACGTTCGACTTGGTCAGCCAGATCTCTGTGACAAATTCACATGTGATCAAAACTCTGTGGCATCCAAAACTGAATCAGGTGTTTGTTGGCTGTGGCAACGGTATTGTGAAGGTGTACTATGATCCTAAGAAAAGCATGAGAGGTGCCAAGCTGTGCGCTGTCAAGACACATACCAAACAGAAGCACATTGAGATAATGTCTACACAGCAAATCATAACGCCTCACGCACTTCCTCTGTTTCGCCAGGACAGGCCCAAGTCAGTTCGTAAACAGATGGAAAAAGATAGGCTGGATCCTGTTAAATCCAGACGTCCTGATCTGCCTATTACTTCTGGTCAAGGTGGTAGAGTGGCATCCTCAGGAGGAA